GGGGAGGGGGGGGGGGATGCGCAGCTATCGATCTCGAGTTGGATAAAACCTGGTCCCCCCACTCCCCCGTTCCCTCAGTTCACCAGAGAGCGTGAGACGCAGTGCACGGCTCCCGAGAGGCAGTGGATCCAGGGTGAGTCCAATCCCTTGGATGACTTGCTGGGCTCTTTTACTTTTCGTGACGGTCTACTTTTTTTTTCCGTTAAAGATATTTAAAAGTGTTAAGGTGGGATTAATACATTTCTAAATATTAGCAAAAGCTAAATGAAAGTCTTCAAAACAAATTTTTTTAACTTCAAACCCGGCAAACAATTTGAAACACATAACGCTGAATCAATGTTGAATCAACATTGATTCAACGTTAGGGGTGTTGAAACAAATTTGCTTCAACGTTTGCTGGGAAGTCTCTTTCGCATGAATGTGCCCTGCACTGTGTCAACATGACCGTCGACTGGATTCATCTCACTTTTCAAGAGTCGAGAATGAAATAAAATGGGAACCACCGAAACCTGCCGTATGCAGGAACGTTCGAAGAAATATCTCACCTTTGTTCGCTTCGACAGGATTCATTTATTGAACAGGTGAAGCAAGCAGTTCGTGCTGGTCTCAATTGCTCGAAAACAGAAAAGCACGTATTTGCTATCTTAAACAGTCTCTTATCCACGATTCTTGTCGAATATCGACTCCAAAAACTTCCAGTCCCGCTCAAACTCCACGTTATCCAAAAAAAAAGAAGCACCAAAACGCATACAAAAATTATTTTGAAGTTTCACCTCAGCACCTAGAAGCGAATAGCATTCCTAAAAGCAAAATTGTCGTATTTTAAATCATACATTTTTTCACCAAGCGCAACCCAATGGGTAAAAATCATCGTCTCGCTTGTAATAGAAGGTCGATCGAGGTCGACTCGAGGTCGACTTGCGGTCGAGCATTTCCCGACTCACCCGTCTCGTTCGTGCAGATGTGGCTGTCCGGACTGTGCTGCGCCGCGGCCCTGCTGGGCCTGGTGGCGCCGTCGACGTCCCAGCTGGTCGGAGCCTTCATGGACACCTCGCTGGAACCGCAGAAGCTGGCGAAACTCATCGCCATCGCCGAGGAGGAAGTGAACCGGGAACTCGAGGACGAGCCGAATCTGGTCAAGGTCGTTCGGGTGCTCCGGACGAGGTCGCAGGTCGTGACCGGGGTCAACTACAGGCTCAGAGTCAGGGTGGGGAAGACGAGATGCGAGAAGGGCGAGGTCAGGGCGATGGAGGTCTGCGATGTCAAGCCGGGTCAGAGGTCGAGGGTCTGCGACGTCGTCGTCTACCAACGGCCTTGGGACGATTTCAGCCGGGTCACTCGAGTCAGATGTTTGTGATCGTTTACTTAATAAAGGTGCGGTTCTCCTCTCGCTGCAACGGACGGTTTTCAATCGGCACTCCTTCCTGACTGACGCATGGCAGCCGGGAAGCGAGCGAGAGATTGCAGAAATTCAGGTCACACGCACCGGGGCACGAATTTCGCACGTGGATTTCAGTGGAGGCTCACCATTGAACATGGCCATTATATCGCATCTGGGTATTTTATTTGTGGTATTTCCTTCCTTGGGATCACAATGAGTTTGCCGGGTGAGCCTTAACTTTCGCTAACATACAGTAGCGTGAAATCGTGTGTCGCCGACCGAGAGAGAGAGAGAATTCGTCGAACCCCCGAGGAATGGAAAATGAAGGCTGAAAAACGCCGGCTTCCCTATTTCTTCTTCCCTCGAGCCCTTTCGTCGGTGGACCGTATTGTCCTACTGCGAAGCCAGGCTTTCATGGATTCTACAAAGCAATTTCACCGTCTTGTTCGAGGGTCTGATCGAAACGGCCTGCTTTGCATGCATCGGCCCCGTGCATCAACCTGATGCATGCCGAGCATCTCAATCGATTCCCACCGACGAACCGCTCGAACAGACGATCTCGGTCCGGTTTCGCTCTCAGTCTTCTCGGCATCTCGGCTCCGAGGCTCCACCCACGAACACGGAGATCGATTAGCATTTCTTGCATTGGGAGCTCCTTCGCAGTCTGCATCCACTCTGGCGAGGTGGAGTCACCGAATTCCCCAGTCCCGGCTAGTGATATTTGGCGCTAGCGGTTCGTCTATGGAGGTAGGGGAGGGCGCTGCGAACCCCTCTCCATAGACGAGTCACTAGCGCTAAATATCACGAGTCGCCACTGAAGTTCCCTCATTCTAAGATAGGATGCCCTTAAGCGCAGGGAAGGCCAGAAGTATGGCCGGAGCTCGACCGGGCATCCTCAAATGGCGGTCAAATGGCGGTCAAATGGCGGTCAAATGGCGGTCAAATGGCGCCCTTGACAGCTCCCGTCGTGCTGCGGTCTTGCCATCGACTGATGGTGCGGAACATGCACAGGTCTCTTATAGGTCACCGTGCTTACTGAGGCCACCAGGGGTGTCACAGCCTTTTGTCATTTGCCTCACGTTTTGGCAATATGCGGTAGCGTGCAATTACGGGTCGGCAACGGAATGAAAACTTGCCGAACGCCCGAGGAATGGAAAATGATGGCTGATGAACGCCAGCTGAACTTTCTCTTTTTCCTTCGAGCCACTTCGTCGTCGGGTCACGTTGTCTGACTACGAAGCCAGACGTGGGCGGATTCCACGTAGCAATTTCACCGTCTCCTTCGAGGGTTTCACAGCCACTGTGAGACTTTCACTGCAAGACATGCATCGGCTTCGTGCATCAACCTGATGCATCAACCCGATGCATCAACCTGATGCATTCCGGACATCCCGATTAAAGTACTTCGGCGAAAACGTTCGAGCAGACGAGCGATCTCGGCACGGTTTTTAACTCGGACACTCGACAGTCGGCCATCGGCCAAACTGCTGGAGAAAGAAAATGGTGAAATCGTGACGCGAGTCCTCCGTTCCTCTGCCGTTTCCCAGGTTTCCTCAACACCGCCTCGACTGATGACAGAACTTGCTCGAATGTCCCCTTCCCTTCCATTAAGAGCTTCCATTCGCTTCAATGATCAGCATCAGTGCTATCATCCTGGGCGATTAGCACAATCCCCCCCCCCCCCTTGCCCATCCTATATGAATATTAATTTTGCGATATTTG